GAATAGAACGTAAATTATGTTCTTTCCTTCTACATTAAGCTGCTTATAGGTTTCTAATTGGTTAGGAGTGTTGTACGAATAGAACGTAAATTATGTTCTTTCCTTCTACATTAAACTGCTTATGGGTTTCTAATTGGTTAGGAGTGTTGTATTCCTAATGTAACAAGAGGATATAAAAGTAATAGTTTTTTTACATCAGAAGTGACTTAATTTTTCAGTTGTCATTGCATAAGAACTGTTTAATTTTTCAATGATTTTACATGATTACTACAATTTATACTTTCTTTTAATAAAATTCCCAGGCATTTACAAATGCTTATTCTTTGTTTGTCCTTTGATGTGATTTTTCCAGAGGAGGCTGTAATTGTATTTTCACACTGTTTACCTTGTTAATTCTGAATATGTTGTGTTCTGAAAACAATAGGATAAGTTTAATCAGATTTGGAAAAAGACAGGCTAGGCTCCAGTTGAGAAAGTCACATTTATTTAAAAGAGTGGTTTGTTTTTGAGTGAGTTGTCATCAACAGTAGTGAAGGCTGGCACTTTTAGAATTTAGGAGGGTTTGGATCAATAGTTTTTCTGAAAAATAAAGGATGAGTTTAATTTTAACTTTTTTCTTCAAGGGTGGGTATGCAAGGACAATCTTGAAAAGTCAAATGATTCATTGTTGCCCCTATGTCATGATCCATTTGTTAAATCCGATCCTCATAACATAGAGTAATCTACAAAACATTTCCTCACATCAGAGTGGAGCATGAGTACCATATGTTAAGTTCAAAAGTGGGCTTAACATTGACTTCTGAGATACTTCTAAACCCGTGAAGTATATAAATATTCTGCAACTTTTGTGATGAAACTATAAAAATATTGAATATGAACTAATGATAAGCCATTAATGTCTGTTAAGCTTCAATAAATGTTCTGGTAATCTTTGTATCATAATGTAGGTCTTCAATGGAATATGTTGAACAATTTGTACTTTAACATGTAATAGTTTTTGTTACTTTGTTTGAAATTGTGGTATGTTGTGTGCATGTTAGAAGAAATATAAATGGAGCTTATGATTTAATTTTGTTAGTCTTTTAAACTTTGTGTAGTTTTCCTTAATTGTAGTCTCAAGAGATGCTAACAGGACAAGATCTGTGACATAATGCTTAGATCTAATATTAAGACCCTGTATCACTTAGATTACTCACTCCCCTATATCTACAAGCATAATGGAATTTGAATTATGCCACTTGGTTGCTAATTTAAGAGCACTAAGCTGACTGTTTAACCACACAGTTTATGATGTGTGGAAGTTTATAGCTTACAATTAGAAATGTTTTTCTTCCTGTGAGATCATGTCAACTGATTAACGATATAATATATGTGTATTGTTCCCACTAGTGTGTTTTAGATCAAATTAAAATGGCCACATTTAAAACTAAATGTTTTATGAACTTTGTGAGTCATAATATAAATCCCTGTGATATCATGATAGTCAAATGTATTACAGGAAGAAGTATTATATTCAGATGTTTGAAATTGTTTGTTATAAAACTGCCCAGAAACACAAAGTATTATTCCATGTTAGATTAATATCTTTAAGTTACCAGATAGGTTTAAATTTAAGCAAGTTTGTCTTTAATAAAATACACCATTAAAACTTATGAATACAAAAGTTATTTGATGGAGAGATTAAGTTACTAAGGTGACAACATATTTTAACATTTTTTATATACTTTTCATTTGCCTAGTTTTTTACTCTTCTCATGAGCATCCAACACCAGCGATGATGTTGGGATACAGAATATACACTATGGAATACTGGTGTGGTAGTTAGATTTCCTATATCTGTTAATAATGCATATTTAATGATGTCATAATTAAATTATCATCTTAGTACTTGATATCTAGTTACAACCAATTTAAAAAAAAACTGTCATTGCTTACTCAAAATATAGTTTGCAGTGTAGGGTTATGGCATAGTTTACTAACAGTAGAAGAAAGTATAATTAACATTTAAAGTATAGAAATATTCCATGTGTGAATGCCAAGAATAATATTGCAGATTAAAAAAAATGTCAGCTAGACTACTTTTTGTATGCATATCTAATGCTTCATTTAGGTTATTTGTTGTGAAATTCTTATTGGCTAAAAAAAATTGTTGTTCTACATGTTTTTGCTTCAGAGTTTTTTTTATCTTTCTCACTTTAATTATGAATATAATTTGTCAGGATAATTCAGAAAAATGTACTTAAGTTTCTATCTTGACAAATTTTATTCATAATTGGTTAAAGTAAATAAATTATGTAAAATAATGTCAAAGCAAAACTGATAAATAGCAAGAATTACAGGCATTACAGCTGTATGCCACTGATTGATACACAAAGATACAGTTCAAAATTAAGTTATTGAAGAGGTAAATAATATCCTTCAGCCTCCACATACTATTATAGAAGAGAACAATATACTTTTGAATATTTCAAGAAAAACCTATATATTGTTTTTTATTATTAGTTTTACTTGTATAGCTAGAATAATTTTGCCATCAGATAGTTACAAAAAGAAAAAAGTTTTTGAATGGCTGCAAGTGAAAAGTAATTAATAAAGAGTTGATTGTCTTAAGTGTATTTGAGCTACTGATAGCAGAAAAGTAGCTGGAGTACATCTTTGTTCAGAAGAACAACCTCCATGTGCATTCA